TGGGCAGCAGAAAGAGACTCTGTCTCAAAAAAAAAAAAAAAAAAAAGGAGTAAGTGAAAGGCGCAAAAAATTCCCTAAATAAGTGAATTTCCAGGCAACGAATGGCCTATGCAAAGACCTAGAGACAGTCGTGCCCCTGGCGCATCAACAAAACAACTGAAAGGTACAACAGGAAGAGAACAAGGGGCCACGCTGAAGAAGTAGACAGGAACAGTAGACAGGCCACTTGAAGACTGAGGGTAATGGGAAAGTATTGAAGGGTTTTTAAGTAGGTGACTGACCATTAGCTTGGGGGTTTTAAAAGTTCCAGTATCTTATACTGAAAATGAATGTAGAAAAAAATATATTCAAAGGTTTCATGGCCAGGCATGGTGGCTCACATCTGTAATCCCAGTACTGTGGGAGGCTGAGGTGGGTGGATACCTGAGGTCAGGAGTTAAAACCAGCCTGGCTAACATGGCGAAACCCCATCTGAAAAAAAAAGTTTCAGTGTCATCCAATTCTCACTGAGCATGTGCATGCTAAATACATTATGAAGTTATCTATAGGAATGGAGAATATGGCCAACAGCAGAGCCAAAATATTTCATGTCTTTTGCCTCTAAACAGCTGAATAATACAAACCGTTGGATAATTGAAACCGCCGTGCTAAATATCGGGGTTGCAGCCTCACAATGGCAGACTGGCAGACGATTTCTATCACCGCACCTCTGCCTCTTTTGCTGGCTATGTATAAACATAAGCGGCAGCAGTGCTGGCGTGAGCAGGTGTGAATAGACACACAACAAGGTATATTAGAAATAGGATAGAGAAGTAAATACTTCAGATCACTCCTTAGCCAAGTTAATGGACAAATGCTCACTGAATCCAGTATTATGCCTGGAAGCAAGGGATTGAATAATAGCCGTTGGAATTATGGTAAGCAAATACTACATTAAAAAAATCAACTCTATTTAATTTGGATATGTGCTAGTTGTCAATACTATCAAAGAAAGAGAGTAACAAAGAACCCAGTAAATTTATATGGGACTCCCCACAACATCTAAACATAAGGTCAGTAGTTAAAACAGAATATAAAAGAAAAAAGAGGCAAAACCTCCCGTGATTGCAGAACTTAACAGTAACATCCTTATTTAAACATGTTTCCGTGTGTGTTTACATGGATTCACTGGCTCACAGCTCTTGGTAAAGCATCAACTTTGTTTTTTGTAGTGCTGTCTGATTCTCTAAGAACCTGATGAGTTTCTTTGAGCAAGAAGTAGCAGCCCAATCTAGCTCAGCTGTACTCAATCTGAGTTGCTTTCCTACCTACAAACCCTCACTTCAAAGCAAGGAACATAATGTACAATTTTTTAATGGCTCTAGACCCAGGCACTCAGCCGCTCTGCTCTGCGCCTTACCTCAGTGTAAACACCTCATCAAGATTGCCTGCGCTTCAACAATAGCAGCCAAATGCAATTCGAGAACCACAAGCCTTTGAAGTCCTCCCTGCAAAGGCCGGTTTTCTAGTCCGGGATAATGACAAGCCATGATTGCTGTCTTTGTTGTATCTTTTCAGTAGAGAAGCAATTATAGGCCCCAATTTAACAGAATAGACATTACACAGCTTATGATGCTCAAAATGCAATTTCATTTGATCATTTTCTCAATTTGATTGGTATTAATAGAATGGTTCACAAAAAAAAAAAAAAAAATAGCTGGCAGAGGTTGTGTCCCATTCCACTTTCAAAGAGATAATGTAGAAGTATGCTTTATTTACCCAGGGATCTCACTGGGGTGATTCAGCCACTGAGTTCTACCAAAGCAGCCTGTGGAGGGAAATAGTGTATATCCTACATTCTATGGAAGAGGAAGCATGGGACACTGTGTTTTTAATTGTAAACTTTTCACCAGTGCCATATAAGATATTCCATCATTGTCAATCAAACAATATCAACAGACCTGAATTAACTAAACTAAGTCCCCTTTATTTCTTAGTCATTCACAAAAGTCAGGGAATCAGCATCCTCATGGCAGATCTATGAAAGAGTTCAACTTCTTTTTTTCCCAGGCTCCGCATGACAGTTGGTCTGAGTCATCCCCACTTTGAGGTTTGAAAAGGATTATTTCCTTGCCTGCTAAGTCCGCTGAGTTAGGTTTTTTTACTCTTGACCTTCATTTCTCTTCTAGGACAGAGTTGATTTTTCTTTTATTTTTGTTTTTTATTTTTCTTATTTCTTCACCCAACATGCCACATCAGATTTTTCTTTTAAATGAGTTGTGTTTCTGTCGAACATCATGGTCATATCGGATTGAAACCTTTGCTATAATGTTGAGAAAAGTTGTGAAATCTAATCCTTTTATAATGAACTGATGTTTTATCTTGAACTAGCATTGTGAGAGGGACTGAGGGAGAAATATGAGAAATAGCGGGTATAGTGGCTTACGCCTGTAATCCCAGCGCTTTGGGAGGCCAAGGCAGGCCGATCACTTGAGTCCATTAGTTTGAGACCAACCTGGGCAAAATGGTGAAACCCTGTCTCTACTAAAAATACAAAAATTAGCTGGGCATGGTGGCACATGCCTGTAGTCCCAGCAACTTGGGAGGCTGAGGCAGGAGAATCACTTGAGCCCAGGAGGCAGAGGTTGCAGTGAGCCAAGATCATGCCACTGCACTGCAGCCTGAGCCACAGAGCAAGACCTGGTCAAAAAAGAAAGAGAGAGAGAGAGAGAAAGAAAAAGAAAAGGAAAGAAAGAAAGAGGGAGAGAGAAAGAAAGAAATATGAGAAATAGTTCCTGACTTTGAGCAGCAGCATTTATAGTTCTAAGCTTTTCATTTCAGCACAAGTTGAACTGTTTCATGATGTGAAGTTTTCCATTTGCAGTGTAGGTCAATCATTCAAAACCTGGGGGTTACTTCCATTTGTAATCAGAAGAATTCCATGATCAAATAGTCAGTCCACTTTTGTGTCATGTTTTATGAATGAAAATTCAAGCACAAAAATATTTAAAATTTTCCATCTTTTCCCACTTTCAGACCAACCTTTAAGTATTTAAATTTTCACCCCATCTATCTGCCCTATCTGTCTCTATCTATGTAAGTACCGCAATTGTGATAGTGACTTTAGTAGAGTTAATAGAGATAGTTCAGGTAGAAATAAGGTTACACCCAAAATAAAAGAAACAAAATGTTGTGTTTGTCTCAGGGAAGCCATATTGAGTGGTAAGGAATGAAGGTATCTTCATTATCAAATATTTAACACGTTTTACCTCTTTCTGTATTGAATACAAGTCGAAGTCAAAGTAAACAGCAGAGGGGGGGTCTGAACACAGACAGGACAGATCCCAAAACCCAAGTTCTTTCTATTTGTACACCTTGCTGCTTCTTGACTACACAGCCCACCAGAGGAAATGTAATAAGACGCATGTAAAGTACGAATCTAAATTTTAAAACTAATTACGTCAGTTCAGAAGGGAGAGACAACACTTACAGGCAGTGGAGCAAAGAGTAGGCAGAAGGAGGCTGACCTGGGTAATGCAGCACAGGAGGATGAGACAGGTCCTCTCAATAAGAGCAGGCTCATGGGAGACCAGAGTCAGCTTCTACCCATGGAGAGCTCTTGTCTGAAGAAGGGATGAGCCTGTTCTGTGTTATTCCAGAGGGCAGAGGGATAGAAAATAAGAAAGACATATATCTGCTCGTATAAGGAAGAGCTTTCTGGCATTTAGGTTGCTCAGTTTGGGAGCAATATGTTCATCATGCATGAAACAGATTTCCTTTTTCTTCATCAACTCATAGAAGATGTTTAAACATATACTAATACTGACAAACAGGTAAGTCTTGCCAGGAGATGAATGAATTTAGGCAGAGAGCGAGTAAACATCTACCAGGGATGGTGTGGTTGTACCTGAGGTTGAACTGGATTATCTCCAGAATCTTTTCCAGCATTAAGGATGCGTAACTTTACGTTTGCTTCCTGCCATATCCTGATGGCTAGAATGCCACATAGCCAGACACTAATTTTGTGATTTAAAACAGGTAACTAATGGAGGCAATGAAGGGCTTTTAAATAATTTAGGGACCTAAATCCTGTGTAGCTGCCTGCATTCATGGTTCCCAAACTTGATTGCAGATTAGACCCACCTAGAGGGCTTTCTTAAATTATTCATTTGAATAGTAGATAGGAAATTTTAAAAATATATTGATATCTGGGGCCATCCCCAGAGCTTATGATTTAATGGATTTGAGGTGGGATCAGGGCATTTGTATTTTTTTTTAATTACCTCGGTTTTTCTAATATCTAACTAAAGTTGAGAACTACTGACCTTCCATTATTCAAATTATCTGAGTACCAAAACTACTAATTGTGCAGGTCTAGGATAACTCACTTTCTAATAAGTGAGTTAGCAAAATAGTTACATGTGCAGGCTCTGGAGATAGACTACCCAGCTCTTCTACTTACTAGCTGTTGATCTTGGGCAAATTACTTAACCTCTCTGTATCTTTGTTTTCTTATCTGCAGAAAGGGGGTAATAACATATGCATAGCTAATAAGGTTGTTGTGAGGATTACCCGAGAACATTGTATGGTAAGGGCCTAGGACAGATGCTGGCATACTGTGAGCATTCCATGCGTAGAAAACATTGTTGGACTCATCTTGGAATATAGTGTTATTTCATGGTGTTTCTAATGGCATGATTAAACCTTACTTGCTGCATCCAGTTCAGATAACTATTCTAAAATTGGGTCCCCTGAGTATGTATTGAGCATGTAAAGTAAGTAATAGTTTAACCTTAAAGCACCAGTTTTCTCTTCCTGCCTGACGGAGAAAACATTATTTATTCCCATTCTGCTTGGGAACAATCCAGGTCCCTGAGGACTGATGAGATGAATCCTTGAAATTAACTGAAAGTAAAACCTAGCCCAGCAGGACCGTTTTCTAGAGTGCACAGACTTGAGCCCCATGGCTCTAAGACTAAAATGAATCCAGTTAACATGCTGTATGTGTTTTACCTACCTAGATCTCCTACCCCGTCAAAGCAACAGAAAAGACATCTATTCAGAATGCCAAGGAAATTGAAAATGCTGCCATCGATCCTGAAGACAAATGGCATCAAAGAGCACAACAGCTAAAGGTTACCTGCTAGATTGCATTTTAAGTGTGTTTCAAGCGATACTGCTGAATATAAGTAATGATCGTGACTGAGTTCTTATCACTTAAGGGTTTATTTTTATGCCTGAGAATGATTACCCACCTTCCTGTGGGTGAGACTGGCTTCTGCTCTGCTCAGAGGAGCCATTGCCTGCTCAGCCAGCCAACCCTACCTGTTTTTCCAAGGGTTCTGTTTTCTGGAAGAAAATAATCATATCACACTTTAAACATACTGAGTTAAAACCCCACACAGAAGGAAGGCATGGGGGCCGGGCACGGTAGGTGGCTCATGCCTGTAATCCCAGCACTTTGGGAGCCCGAGGAGGGCAGATTACGAGGTCAGGAGCTTGAGATCAGCCTGACCAACATGGTGAAACCCCATCTCTACTAAAAATACAAAAATTAGCCAGGTACGGTGGTGCACACCTGTAATCCCAGCTATTCAGGAGGCTGAGACAGGAGAATTGCTTGAACCTGGGAGGCAGAGGTTGCACTGAGCCAAAATTGCACCACTGCACTCCAGCCTGGGCAACAAAGTGAGACTTCATCTAAAAAAAACAAAGAAAGAAAAAGAAGGGAGACATGGAAAGACATGCAGGAAAAATCACAGTTCCAAAGAAACTCTGTGCTACTTCCAAGTCTGAGTCCTTTTGGAGTTGGCAGTTACTTATTATTCCAGATGATGGGGACACTATTTCTAAAAAAACAAAATGGATGGGAATTCCCAGAGCCTCAATTCTCCACACTTGTTTTCTAGAAGAAACAGAAAAAGGCCAGGCATAGTGGCTCACACCTGTATTCCCAGCACTTTGGGAGGCCAAGACAGGCGGATCACCTGAGGTCAGGAGTTCGAGACCAGCTTGGCCAACATGGTGAAACCCTGTTTCTACTAAAAATACAAAAATTATCCAGGCATGATGGTGCTCACCTGTAGTCCCAGCTACATGGGAGACTGAGGCAGGAGAATCGCTTGAACCTGGGAGGTGGAGGATGCAATGAGCCGAGATCACGCCACTGCACTCCAGCCTAGGTGACAGAGCAAGACACCATTTCAAAAAAAAAAAAAAAAAAATAGAAGAAAGAAAAGAAAAGAAACAGAAAAAGCACTGTAAGCTGAGGGTCAATGTGGAGCCCCCCTTGGACCAGGTTTTATCCCTGCTTAAGAAGAGATGAGTCCTTTGAAATTACTGAGCCTATAGAGCCTGTTGACATCAGTTAAAACTAAGTACAGTGATAATCATAGTAATAAAAATAGTAAGTTTTATCCCAGCTTCAGGGAGGTTACAAAGAAGGGACAGCCCAAATAATCTCTTTTCCTCCCCAGTGGCCTCCAGGCCCCACTTCAGAGTTGCAAAAAAAGAAATAAAAAGTCATTCACCCAGAGCTTCCTGAAAGTTGATGCCAGTGAGGCCACACCTAAAAGCTGAGAGCATGGGGACTGAAATGGCTCATGGCAGTGGGATGTAGAGGACAGCATCCACTCCCAGACCTGATAGAGAGCCAGGGGAGCTTGGTCAACAGGAACCAGGACAAAGGAAATACCTTAAGGCTTGTCGTGCATTATGGGTAATGGCTCAGTCACAAGAGATAAATTTTTGGGCCTCAACCTGCTATTTACTTGATGTATGACTAGACAAACCTCAACTCTTTCAGAGCCTTAAGTTTCTTCTTTATTAAACGAAGGATTAGCCTAAATGATCTTTAAGGTCCATCACAGCTGCAAAATGCTAGAATTCTATGACCATGTATTTCTAGTTATTTAAATTGCTATAGAAAATACATTTGAAGCATGTAAGATTATTGTAACCTGTAGCTTTCATAATTGTCACTAAGGAAAACCATAGGATTCTCAGCTAATAATAAAATGATCATTAGGTAAAAAGTTTTGCCCAGTGGCAATATCATAACTAGTGCAGTTTATACAAGGTACAATTATTGCTAACTGAAACCTTTGCCTAATACTGACCATGAAAACTTGAAATATAGTTGGCATTGGCAATTTTTATAGTCTCTATGGAGACTGAAAAAAAAATAATAATCAAGGTAAAATCACAGTGCTTGATTTATGGCATGACCTTTGACAGAGGCAGTAAAACTTTTATATGGAAGAAATTCAGAAGAAAGCCAAAAGAAGCTGGGCATAGTGGCTCATGCCTGTAATGCCAGCACTTTGGGAGGCAGAGGTGGGCAGATCACCTGAGGTCAGGAGTTTGAGACCAGCCTGACCAACATGGAGAAACCCCATCTCCACTAAAAATACAAAAAAAAAAAAAATTAGCTGAGCCTGGTTGGTGGCATATGCCTGTAATCCTAGCTACTCAGGAGGCTGAGGCAGTAGAATCGCTTGAACTTGGGAGGCGGAGGTTGCAGTGAGCCGAGATCACACCATTGCACTTCATACTGGGCAACAGGAGTGCAAATCCATCTTGGGGGTGAAAAAAAAGAAAGCCAAAAGAATGCTGCTTATTCTCTGTGTGTACTATAATCAATGCGCTTATAACCCATTCCTGAATGAAGACATTGTGGAGCAAAACATCTAAAGAGTGTTAGATCTAAAATGACAATAAAAACGAATGGCCTAAGGGATGTTTCCCATTCTTTAGGTGGAAAGAATCTGTGAACTGCCCAGCACTCTGGTACACAGACACTTCAGGCTGCCTTTCTTTTTCCTCTTCAACTAACCTAGTCCAATGCCTTCTTTTTAGTGCTCCCTCAAGGGCTACCTCTGCATGGAGATTCCCAGCCTCTCCCACCCTGCTTCTCTGCCCTCAGTTCCTGCTGTGTCTATTGTCTGGACCACCGGCTCAGGGTCTGCCATATTTGGTCAATCTCATTAGCTGCTGCCTGTATTCCTTCCCTCCCTCCCTCCTTCCCTCCCTCCCTCCCTTCCTTCCTTCCTTCCTTCCTATTTTTTGAGACAGAGTTTCACTCTTTTTACCCAGGCTGGAGTGCAGTGGCAGGATCTCGGCTCACTGCAACCTCCACCTCCCAGGTTCAAGTGATTCTCCTGCCTCAGCCTCCCACGTAGCTGAGACTACAGGCGCCCACCACCATGCCCAGCTAATTTATTTATTTTTAGTAGAGACGAGGTTTCACCATGTTGGTCAGTCTGGTCTCGAACTCCTGACCTCAGGTGATCCACCCGCCTTGGCCTCCCAAAGTGCTGGGATTACAGGCATGAGCCACCATGCCTGCGTTTCTTTTGTACCTACTACACTACAAGAACTTTAAAGGTACCGATTGTATTTTTCTCTACATCACCTACCACAATGCTTTGCCCAAGGCTGATACTCAATAAATATTTAGTGACTGATTAAAGAAACATTAAAGATCGCAGGCCGGGCACAGTGGCTCATGCCAATAATCCTATTGCTTTGGAAGGCCAAGGAGGGAAGATTGCTAGAGGTCAGGAATTCGATGTTATAGATGCCACTGTACTCCAGCCTGGGCAATAGAGCAAGACTCTGTCTCTAAAAAATACAAAATATGGATAAAAAGATTATTTAGTATATCTCCAAGGGTAAATAGGCCTCATTTGAAATTTCTTTCTTGAAAGATGACTTTCAAAGTTTCACAAACCTACCCTAACAACAATAACCCTCACTAATGCAAAATATCTTTATGCAAAATCAAAATATTTCACACAGCAAATATTTATTGAGTATCTATTACATTTTAGGCACTGTAGATTAGGTGCCTGGCTAATAGATATAGTTAAAAAAAAAACAAGCAAACAAACAACAACAAAAATTCTTTAAAGCAGTAAACAAAACCTGAAGAAAGGTGGTTTTTTTCTAAAAGTGGTACCTCCCCTCTAGGAGTTCAACACTTTAGTGGAAATGCAGTTATGTAATCATTATAATGCAGTAATATGGACGTGGGCACAAAATGCAGTGGAACTAAAAGAGCACCTAATTCTGCCCTAGGAAGACAGAGAAATACCCACCATACGAGTCAGTATCTCAGCTGCCCCTAGAAGGACAAATGCAGGCAAAGGTGTGAAAGCAGAAGGAGGAACGAGGAACCATGACAGCTCTGGCTGCTGTTGGTATGGTCTAGGGAGGGAAAAGTTGACATAGGTGGTAAGTGCTGCTGTCTGTTTTATGTATCTCAGGACTCAGACGGTGCCGTGGCGAAGAGACTGTTCACAGTCTAAGCAGGTACCAGCAGTGAGGTGCCGTGCAAGGGGCATTACACATGCAACTCACACATATGGAAGGCTCCATGGCTTGGAAAAACTAAATACCAAAAATACAAACAATAATAGCATACATGTAGATAGATGCATGTCTATGTGTTTATGTGTGGAGTGATGGAGAAAATAATGAAATGTGACCCAATGTTTAACATTTTTCAATCTGGATAAGAATCTTTTAGAGTTGTCCATACTAGCAATCTTTCTGCAAGTTTGAAATAACTTGGAAATAAAAAGGTCAAGAAAAATGTGCACATGGGATTTGGTGACTAAAAGTTTATTGGTGGCCTGAGCAGAGCAATTTCGACGGGATGGGGAAAAGGAATGCTCTATGGCAGCGGGCAGAGGTCAGCATAAGAGATGCGGAGCAGCGGCCAGTGCCCTGACGTAGTTAAGATGCCCCACTGTGAACTGAGAAAGAGATCGTTTTTTGTTATCGTTGTTTCTGTTTTTTGAGACAGAATCTTGCTCTGTCACCCAGGCTTGCATACAGTGTCATGATCTTGGCTCACTGCAACTTCTGCCTCGCAGGTTCAAGCGACTCTCCTGACTTAGCCCCCCAAGTAACTGTAATTACAGGTTCACACTACCATGCCTAGCTAATTTTTGTATTTTTAGTAGAGATGGGGTTTCACCATGTTTGCCAAGCTGGTCTCGAACTCCTGACCTCAAATGATTCACCTGCCTCAGCCTCCCAAAGTGCTGGGATTATAGGCCAGCCACTGTACCCAGCTAAGAAAGAGAAAGGATTCAACTAGAGAATAGCATCAAGTGAATATTTCTTTCCTTCTTTTTATAGGAGAGTCTTAAATACATTTACATGCTAGAAAGAGTGAGAAACCAGACATAGGGTGAGGAAAGAGAGAAGATGTGCCTGAGACCATTTCAGCCTGTGTATTTTTACTTTAAAAATACTAAGAATGATGGTCATCATTATATTCTCTGTAAGAATCTAATCCATGCCTAGAGTCTTCACCTGAAGCCAAGTAATCTCTCTTCATTTAACCTTGCCACATAGGTCTTAGTGTCCTGAATCACTTTGTGCTTGCCTGTGAATCTTCACAGGTTTTCTGAATCTCACTTCACTTGTGTGCTCAGACTGAATGCAGTATAAGGCCGAGGACTGTTTCTGGGCAGGGTGAGGAGCACATTGCCGCTGGCGGATCTTTCCCAGGTATCTTAGTCCTTCCGTCCATAGATCAGGTGGCTTATAAATAGAGATTTATTTTTTTCACAGTTTTGGAAGCTGGAAGTCCAAGGTCAGAGCACTGGAGGTTTCCATGTCTGGTGAGGATCTGCTTCCTGGTTCACTGGTGACACCTTCTCACTGTGTCCTCACACAGTGGAAGGGGTGAATGAGCTTCCTTGAGCCTATTTTATAAGGACATCAATCCCATGCAGGAGAGCTCTGCCCTCCTGACCTAGTCACCTTGAAAAGACCCCACCTTTAAATAGCATTGCCATGGGGGTTAGGATGAACGTACGAGTTTAGGGAGGACACAGACATTCAAACCGTGGCACCAGGCAAGAAACATGTCAGTAGAAAAAATAAAATAAAAAGTTCCCCAGTTAAGTAATGCTTCAAAAGGATAAATAGTATGCTTTCTTTCTTAGCCCTCTAAAATAACTTTTTTTTTTTTTTTTGAGACAGAGTTTTGCTCTTGTTACCCAGGCTGGAGTGCAATGGCCAATCTCAGCTCTCTGCAACCTCTGCCTCCTGGGTTCAGGCAATTCTCCTGCCTCAGCCTCCCGAGTAGCTGGGATTACAGGCGTGCACCACCATGCCCAGCTAATTTTTCGTATTTTTAGTAGAGACGGGGTTTCACCATGTTGACCAGGATGGTCTCGATGTCTTGCCGCCTCGGCCTCCCAAAGTTCTGGGATTACAGGCGTGAGCCACCGCGCCCGGCAAATAACTCTTAACTTTCCAGGCAAAGAAAAGGTAATGATAGTATGAAAGATACTGTAGGACCTTTTACTCATTCATGTAAAGCCCTTGTAATCAAATCCTAAGTAATCTTCCCACCTTTCCAAAGAGCTGTTAATCTGGTTTTGCCTCCAACACTGTCAGTATTCTCCAACACTATCACTAACTGCGTCTTCTATTCATCTGAACACAGGGTTCTTCCTTACCCACAGAGAAAAGTAGAGCCAATCAGTATTTTTGCCTGAGATTCTCTTAAATCATCAGATGGAATTTGTATCTCAGTCTCAAGGTACTCATGTTTTATTGTTCATACACACAGCAGAGAGCGAAACACAACACAAATGTCTCCACTTTAGAGCTCATCTCGGAGCCCAGGCACAGCTCTCAGAACTCCATGGTCGAGTCAGGTTAACTCAGAGCAGGAGTGGCTTTTGTGTTGAGGCAGATTAACTTTTTGGTTGCGATCAGAGCATGCATTGTCCCGTCTGCTTATGACATGTGTAAAGGGAAGCCGTAAAAGAGAAACAGCCAGGTGCTGCCTTTCACAGGGTTGCGTGCAAACTTCTCTTGGGTGGCGCAGTATGAATGAGCATTAATAACTAAGGATGAGTCCTACTAAGAAATTATCATCCCGGCATTAGGCATCAGGATTCCCCCAGGCTAACACTCTGTGTGTGACACAAAAACCTACTCCCATTAAGCAGTTATTCTGAGTGCATGTAGTATGCACTGATTGCGAGTGTTGGTAACAAAAGAACCCCAGTGAGAGCAGGATGGAATAGAGGATTTCAGTGCTGATGGAGATTAAATCGTCGGAGAATGGCTTTGTATATTAACTTCAGGGAACTCAGGTCTTGCCACCTAAAGAGTGACACCTGATGCCCCAATTGTAGGGTAATAAATCTTCAGTAAACCATAGATCTCAAGTAGGCTGCTTGGAAGGTGAGAAAAATATCAAGCCCGTAAATGCCTTCCTTTCTGGGGACTGAAATGCCATCTCTGGGCACTTATATTTACGTGAATAGCGGGTTTAACACTTGAGACAATTGAAGTTTCATAAAATGATGAGTCCTTGGCCTTGTTGTCAAAGCACCCTGTGAAGAGTACTATTATGATCTGAATTGTTGGCAGCAAGGTAATAATGAGATTAAGATCAAGTGGTAACCCAGGATTTCAGATCTAGTACCCAAGAAAAGAAATTTCTGAGAAGTAGGTATTTTCTTTCTTGGTGAAAATTAAGAGAGAAAACTAGGAAATGTACATTTAGATGGCAGCATCCTGGTTATTTCTCTGTCAAGTTAATGGCTGAACAAATATTGAAAAGAATGACATTATCAGCATCAATTAACATTTTTAGGTCGCAGTCAAGGGGGGCGTGTTTTTACCTTCGCAACAGTGCTGCCAGCCATAAAAAGAGCTGCTGTTTCACAACCACACCTATAACATTGTTAGAGAGCAATTATTTTTCTGGATCCATTACAAGGAAGGATTTTCTTGGAGCTATGTATTTGCAGAGCCTTCCTGCCCTTATTTCCCCATGCAGCTCAATTTACTGCATGGAAGGAATACTTGGAATTTACCTGGAATACAGAAAAGAAGCTTTTAGCGTTCTCCTTTTTTTGGAGCACCACAAGTAAAAATTTAGAGTATATTGGAGCTAATCAGAGCTCCAATCCCCTAGAAAGCTCAAATTCTCAAAGAACAACTTCTAAATTTCAAATTAGAAGTCATTGTTTTTTAAAAGTATGATATAATAAGTAATACTGCATATTACTGTTTTAAATTTAATAATGTCAACATTATCATTATAACGTGATTTCACTAGAAATAGAACACTGCTTAATATTATGTAGGAATAGGATGAGTCTTAATGATTGTATCAGAATGTGTCAGAAAAGTGAAATCAAAGCTGAACTCTTATCACAGTAATTTGATCATTCTTTCTGGCAGGGTAAAATATTCATTCATCTAATGGTTGCATTTTTCAGTTAATGTCTTATAGATATAAGCCAAAGAGATTTTAAAAATATAAGTGTTAAGAAAGCTGTTGCAGTTATGTAACACACTGATGCATATGGTCATCCTACTGTTTTCAATAAGCATTTAATCATTCTTTGCAAAGGCCTCTTAACTCAGCTAGTTTTTCACAAAGTAATGAGTGCTTTATTCCTTGGAAAATATTTCTAAAAGGCAATAGCACGATATAGTTCCATAGTGTATCTATTATACCAGGAGTACATTTTGTTGTTAGGAGACTTTGAAAAGCATAAAGACTGTTCTGAAATTGAAATATTTCCCCCAGATGTTTGATTGCCTAAGTGCAGGCTATATTAAGGAACAGAAGCAAAACAACCCTTGTGGTTTCACAGATGTCCTATCACAGCACAGACTCTTTTATAATCCTCTGAATAAAATCTAATTTGTTTCATCTGGTGAAGAGGTCATTTCTAGCTTCTGACCAGCATGAGTAAAAAGATTTGATCATCTGAGTTGTATTTAATATTAAATTTGTACTTGGTTTGTAAAGCAAATTATTAGTGTTTTCTGGTTAAGATTTTTAAAAACATTCATGTTACTTAAAATAAGCTTGCATATTGTGACGTAGATTCGCATGTGTACTTTAGCTTCCCCACCCCTTCCCAAGTTGGCAACACTTTTACGCCAAAGACTTAGCTTTTAAAACGTAAACTTTTAAGCCAAAGACTTGTCCTTAATATAAAGCCCGTTCTAAGCTTTCTATTTCATTCTAGGCTTATAATCCTAAATTTCCAGGAGGAATCACTCAGCTACTAACTCTCCAATTGCCTGAATTTAGGAAAAAATCCCCTACTTTTTCTTTATTTGTTTTCAATTCTTTGGTCACCTTCCTAGAAGTCTCAACTCCCAATTTGAAAAATGCTAATTTAACATTTGTGAAGAGTGCCAGTCTTCTAATTTTACATTAACCCAAAATATCTCTTTAGAATTACCAGGAACACTGGTCTCAATATGAAAGTACCAAATCAAGCAATGTACCAAGAGGGCAACCTTCTGAAACAGTGAATGACCATCAACCTTCCAGAAGACCAGCCAAGCCCAAGATTCAAAAACTGCATAAACACCAGAATGGCCAGAAGTCTTCCACAAAGGAGGAGCTGATTGCCAGTCAGGGGAGCCAGAATAACTCTCCCAGGCAGCAACAAAACCAAAACAAGCCTCTTGATACTTCAACAAAGCATGAATCGACTGTGATTATGCATGCCTCTAACAACGACTTACAAGACTCAAGGGCACTTAGGAGCCAGAATCTCAAAGAAACCTCTAATACATTTGCTCCACCAAAACAAGCTTTTGACAGGGTCTTATATAAAAACTCTACTGGGTATGACTCCGGGCTGAATGTTAATGAAGAAAGAGGACACAAAGAACAAGAAGAAAAAAGATTTTCATATCAGCAGCTATACACCAACACCCTTTCTGATATGGATTTGAACAACCTTAATGAACTTTCTAAGAGACACGTGCTCCTAAGCCAGAAAGGCTCTCAGTTTGTTTATCACATAACTGTTCATGGATCAACTGAAAATAAGAAACAACCCAAACAGCCTTACAAAGAGACAAAATATAAGAACTTAGAAATGTTATGGTAAGAATTCTTTTTTCTCGAGTGGTTTTCTAGAGGAGAAAGGAGAGGCTGCTGCAGAAAGACAGGAGAGGGAGAAGGGGAAGGGGACTTCATAGGGATGGCCAGGTGAGAAGATTTCACCTGACAACTTCCTTGGCTCTGAGTCCTGCCTCAAAGAGTCCTTTTTTCCTTTCTTTCTTTTTTTTTTTTTTGAGACAGAGTCTCACTCTGTTGCCCAGGCTGGAGTGCAGTGGTGTGATCTCAGCTCACTGCAACTTCTGCCTCCTGGGTTCAAGCAATTCTCCTGCCTCAGCCTCCCAAGTAGCTGGGAGTACAGGCATTCGCTACCACATCAGGCTAATTTTTGTATTTTTAGCAGAGATGGGGTTTCACCATGTTGGCCAGGCTGGTCTTGAACTCCCGACCTCAAGTGATCTACTTGCCTCAGCCTCCCAAGGTGTTGGGATTATAGGCGTAAGCCACCGCGCCTGGCCAAGAGTCTACTTTTGATGTGTTTCTTTTCCTCTTCCCTGTCCCCTCTACTTTTCCACTGTAGTTAAACTAGAAGTTGGAGGTAGAGGAGGACAGAGGGACCCAGCCAAGAAACATCAGTGTGTTTTGAGGGTTGAGAGTGTTTGGAGGAAACAAATGATCTCCAACATTTCATGGCCTATCCTGAGAAAATAATCTAAAATACAGAAAAATATGTACATTCAAAAATATCATCATTTATAGAAGTGACCTAAAAATTCAACAATAGGGAATGTTTCGGTAAATTATGATATTTAGTATCATGGAACCACTAAAAATTATGGTTATGAGGAAATTCTTCTATAGGAAGAAAATAGTAACGTACAAAATTACACCTTTGGTTGAATGACAATGGTGGGAAAAAAATTACATTTAAGGAGTATGAGCCCTACTGTGTTAAAATATGCACAGAAGAAGAAAAATTCACCAAAATGCCGATAGTAGTTATCTCTAGCAAGAGAGATTGGGATTTTAAAAATTTATTCTTTATATTTTCAAAACAGTTCAAGTTCCCTGCAATGTAGAAGTATAACTTCTATTAACAGGAAAATGAAAGTTATTTTAAAAATTACTTCAGGCACCATTTCTTGGTGTTCTTCAATCAAACATGCTTTCTATGCGCCTAACGTGCTGAATATAATGCTACAATACTAAATACTATACAAGGTACAAAAGAAGTATGGTGTGTGAGACACCTTCAAGGAACTTACTTTCAAAATTAGGAGACGATTATTCCTCTGTGAGTTGATAAGAGAACATATAAGTGCTACACTATGTGGCATGAAATGTACATTTAATAAGATTTAAAATTAGCTTCCTAGAAGAGATCATGAGAAGTAGCAGGCATCTTTGTCTTTTTATTTTTTATTTTTTTATTTTAGAGAGATTGTTTCTAACATTTTTACCATTAAAAATAATATTTAGTTTTTGGTAGATAAATAGATGATAGACAGGAAATTTCCTCCTATTCCTCTTTGGAAAGAACTTTTATCATAAATGGGTATTCGATTTTATCAAATACTTTTTCTGCATTAATTAAAACATTTCTCCATTAATCCTTTAATGTGATGAAATATGTTAACAGATTTTCTGATGATGCACTATCCTTTTGTGTCTAGGGTTAACCCAATTTGTCATACTGCATTTTTAATAAGTTGCTTTATTTGATGTGTTAACACTTTGTTTAGGATTTAACATTTTCATATATGTAAAGTGAGACTGGCTTATAATTTTCCTTTCTGCCACTGGCCTTAACTGGGTGGGTTATCAAGATAACACCAGCCTTATAAAATGAGTTGAGGATTATTTCCTCTTTTTGCATCTTCTGGGACACTTTACATACAGTTGGCCTTATCTGTTACTTGAAGGTTTGATAGAATTTTCCTCTAAAACTATTGGACCGTGGGTGGGTTTCCTTTGGCTTTTTGTTGGTGTTTGTGAGCAGATTTTAAACTCCTGATGCACTTACTGTAAGTGTTATAAAACTTCGCCGTCTTTTCATTTTCTCTTTAATCAGTTTAATAAATTATGTTTTCTAGGAAAATTTTTCCTTTTATGCTAAGTTTTAAAATGTACTGTCAAAAAGATTTTTATAGTATTTAAATAACTTTAACATTCACCTTTATTGTATCTGTAATCATGTCCCTTTTTTAATTTCTTTTTTTCTTTTTCTTTTTTTTTTTTTGAGATGGAGTTTCGCTCTTTTTACCCAGTTGCTGGAGTGCAATGGCACCATCTCGGCTCACCGCAACCTCCGTCTCCTGGGTTCAAGCAATTCTCCTGCCTCAGCCTCCCGAGTAGCTGGGACTACAGGCGTGTACCACCATGCCTAGCTAATTTTTGTATTTTTAGTAGAGACAGGGTTTCACCATGTTGACCAGGATGGTCTCGATCTCTTGACCTTGTGATCCACCCGTCTTGGCCTCCCAAAGTGCTGGGATTATAGGCATGAGCCACCACGCCCAGCCTCCTTTTTTTTTTTTTTTTTAAATTTCTTTAAAAAGAAATTTTTTTTGGCCGCCTCAACCTCCTGAACTTCTTTTGCATAATTTTCTCTGTACATATAGCTAACGGATCCTACACTTTTGAGTAGCCTCTTAGTATAAGTTTCCATAAGGACAACCCCATGGGTCAGTTTCTTAATTCTTGTCTCTTTCTTGGAGACAGACTTTCTTTCATTTTTTTTTTTAAACAGAGTAGGATCTCACTCTGTCACCCTAAGATGGACTTTCTAGAGACCTTTATTTTCTTTCTCTTTCTAGATATACTACACAGCTGTCTTGCTGAGGATTCCCTTTGCCTTTCTTCTGATAGGATTCTCTTTTTCAATATCTCACATCTTCCTTATTTTGTTTGAGCTCCCCTTCCGGTGTTCTCTTCAGATTGGAAATGTGGTATAAGGACAGGGGACAGGGTGGTGGGCAGTTCTCAGCGTGCCAGTGTCTTGTGCCATACTTGTTTTCTGACTGCATTCTGCTGTTGTGCTCATATTATCCTTGAGACTCTCCATGTCCTCAAGGAGACTCTCTTCAGTCTTCTGTTTTTTCCATCCCCGTGCTCTTTCTTAGTTTCTCTCTAGTTTTGGTAGAGAACACCCTCCATTGCTTGGGAGGTAAATGCTTTGAGATCTTGCAGGACTGAAATTATCTTTGTTCTGCCTTCGCCCCTGCTTGGTAGCTTGGCAGAGGATTGTAGAATTCTAGATTGAAAATCATTGTCCCTCAGAATTAATTGCCTTCTTGCATCCAGTGTTGTTATTGAGGAATCTGAAGCCACCTAATTCCTGATCCTTTGTATATAAACTGTTTTTTCTTTTTTTCTGGAAGCTTTAGAATCTTTTCTTTTTCTCTACTGAAATGAAATTTCATAATAACATGCCTTGGTATAGGTCTATTTTCACAGACTGGGCTGGGCCTTTTAAGCTTGAAAATGTGCGTCCTTCAGTTCTGGGAAATTTTCTTGAGTCGTCTCATAGGTAGATCATTTCAACCATTTTCTCTGTTTGCTCTTTCTAGAAACTCCTGTGATTCAGATGTGTTCTTCCAGGACTGTCATTATGATTTTGTTTTCCTTTTCTCTTTTGTTTTCCATTTCTTTGTAATTTTGTTCTACTGTCTGGGAGGGTTTCTCAGTTCTAGCTTCCAACATTTCTACTGCTATCATATTTGTTGATTTCCGAGAGGATATTTTTTGCTGTTGTTTCTGTTATTGTTTTCTGAATGTTTCTCTTTTTATAACCCCATGTTTTTGTTCATGGATGCAACATCCATTTTTCATAACATCTTGGATTTTTAACAAGGCAAAATAGGGCATAAGGGCCCTTGTGGCTGAATTTTTAAGTGTTTTTAATTCCCTGCTTCATTTCTCTTTCCTCAAGTCTTTGTCAGGGATGTTTATTTCTCTTCCCCTATTTTGCTGCCTTCCACCTTAGGGCTTGTGTCAGATGTGTGGCAATTCTTGATCATCTTCTCATGATCAGGTACGAGGGACTAGAAAGCTTGTTGGAAGCTCTGAGTGACAGTGCTTGTTGACTTTGAGTATCTGTAGAATGATCTGTGGGGGCCATCTGATAGGAAGCCCTTCCTGTAGGTTTTAGGTCTTTTATCTTGGTGGTCAGATTTATTATTTGTGCTTGGTGCTTCAAAGGGAGGAGACTTGTTAGCTTCTTCCGAATGAAAACCTCCAGTGAATTTAGCATTGAGTCTGGTATATGTTTTCTATCATCTTCAAACTTTTTAGTCTTCTTATGATTTAGGTGTGTCTCTTTTAAATTGTATGTTGGATTTTATTTCTTTATTCATTCTTAAACTCATTTTTAGCTAGTGGCTTTAAACTATAGGCCAAGTGCAGTGGCTCACACCTATAATACCAGTATTTTGGGAGGCTGAGAAGGGAGGATTGCTTCAGTACAAGAGTACAAGACCAGTCTAGATAACGTGGCAAAACCCTATCTCTACAAAAATTAGCCTGGCATGGTGGGGTGCACTTGTGGTCACAACTAATTGGGAGTCTGAGGTGGGAGGATCACTTGAGCCCGTAAATCAGAGTTTGCAGTGAGCCAAAATCGTGCCACTGCATTTTTACCCTGGGTGACAAACTGAGACACTGTCACAAAAAACAAACCAACCACAAAAGCTGCTTACATTTATTGTGGCACTGATACCTTTGAAAATTTATTTCTACCATCCTAAGTTGTCCTTCTGAATCACCCTACTTTCTCTATACTTCTTTATTTCTCTTATATCCTCTACTAACCCGATAGAATTTTATTTTTCCTTCTACTGATTTGCAAGTATATATTCTCTTTATAATCTTTTATTGTAAGTCATGTACTTAACTAGTCTAACATTAAATTAATATTCGTATTCTCCTCCAAAACATGTTCAAAACTATTAGATTGTTTTAATCCAGTCACCTTTACTGTCATACATATTGCTTTGTTCAGCAACTTGTCTATCAGCTTATCTTCAAAATTAGTCACTGCTTTTATTATTGTTGTACAGAGTTAATACTGTGCTATATTTAGCCAATTGTGTATTAATGTCTTTTCTCCACATCCTTTCTTCCATGTTACCCTTTATTGCCGAGGGAAATCCTTTAGAAGTTCTTTTAGCAAGTATGGTAAATTTACATGAACATTTCTTTACATGAACTTACTATTTTGAATTATAGTTTAATATTGTGAAGAATTCAACTTGTTGAAAACATGACTTTTCTGTTTCTTGGTTTCTTACGCTTAGGTATGAAATTTTTAATTCAATCTGAGATTCTTCTATAATTCCTAAATCTTAAGATTCATCTCTTTCATAAATTCTGAAAAATTATCACACATGTTCCCTTTGAATATTATGTCTCTCAAATTTACTGTATTTTCTCCTGTAGGAACCCCAAATAGCTGTATGTTAGGTTCTCTTATTTTAGATTTCATGCCTTTTTAACTGTTTTTGTTTTACATCTTTTATTTCTCAGTGCTGCTTTCTGAAAAATTTCTTCAGACAAATTTTCCAGCAGAATAAATCTCTCTTTACCTGTGTCTAATATATGCTCTTTACTGTATTCATTGAGTTTTAAATTTCAATGATGGTATTTTCCATGTCTAGAATTTCTATTTGGTTCTGATTAAAACCTCTGTTTTTTTCCAAAATACAGGATTTTTAAATATGTTTCTCAGATTTTTAACTCCTTTTTTTCATGTTTTTAGTCATCTTAACCTGCCTTATGAATGTTATCTAATATTCTATTATCTGAAGTTCTTGGAAGTCTACTATCGCTATTTGTATGTGTGTGCATGTGTGTCTGCTGACTCTCATACTTGGTAGATTATTTCCTCTTATGGTCAAGGACTTTGGATTGTGAACTTATGTTTAGCCACCTTTTCCGTGAAACCTAGCCAGGCTTGGGTGGGAGTGTATCTCTCCAAAGAAGCTTTATATTTGCTTCTGCCATTTACTACAGAAGTATCCCTTATTCAAGATCATTTTTATATTAGTTTCTTGGTGTTGGATTTCCATGATTATGTGGGTAAGGTAAATTTGAATTCCAAATATTGTCCTATAGATATTCACAAGAGTTTGTTGTTGTTGTTGTTGTTGGGGTTTTTTTGTTTTTTGTTTTTGCGGGGTGTGGTGGTGTTTGGTTTTGTTTTTCTATTCAGAGCCCAGACCAAGACAGACAGGCTTGCTTTTTTTTTTTTTTCATGGTTGGTGAATGGGTTTTTAATTAATCTAGCTTTTAATTGAGGATGTAGCACCTCAAGTTATAATCTTCACACAAAGATCTTAGTTCTAATTCCCTGCTTCACACAGGACCAAAATCTTGCATATTCTATACTAGCATTAACTATTAAAACTCAAGCCTTTAGACCCAAAAGTCTAATAAAGAAAGATATAACCTCAGCTCATCTAAAATCTGCTTTGGTTTTTATTCCTTTTTTGGTTTTGGTCTTTGGAGATTTCTATTTATCTTACAAATACAATTATATATTTAAAGGAAGTTTAGTTTAAGGCAACATTTCTAGATATTTTGTAGTCAGAAGGTCTTTGATTTTTCAAAATGGTGTATTTTTCTATTCTGAATGCACTAAACAAAAGTTCTAAATAAAATATAGAATGTCCTAAAGGGAAAAGAGGAGTTTAAGATAAGTAAGAAATTAATGTATTCATAAAAAGTTTAAGCTAAAAGTCATTAATTTGATTTGGGAGTGAAAAATACATCAAGTTAATGCTTCAGAAAGACTTTTCTGCTAGAGGTCTTATGTATCCAGATTTTATTAATACATTTTTGCTTTCTTTTTTTTATTTATTAAGGAAATTCCATTCTTCTTCTGACAGCCAGCCACTTAGAGCTTCTCCAGATTCATGGCTCACCCAGATAATGGAGCAGCATCAGCAAGCCTTGGTGCAACTGGCCGACTTGCAGCCCAGTGAAGGGGCCTTACCCAGCATCACGCTTCCACCTATACTGTCAAGGGTAGAAAGTGAATCCCAACTCAGTTCAGAGAGAAGTGAAAGAAACCAAGCGAAAATTAGCCGTAGCAATTCTGAAGGCTATCTGTTTCAGCTGGAAAAGGGAAAAAAACATAGGAAAAGAAGCCACAGTAAGGTAATAAAAGCGCCATTTTACCCTGTAACCCTTAAATTTTGAGAATACAGATGAACCTTGATTGAATTATAGCTCTGGATTAGGGATAGTCATTACTGAGTTGCTGCCACAACTGAGTAGCGTAGAGTCCTCAGGAATTTCTTACTCCAGCCTCTGCTACTCCCTGGGGTTTCCCTCCCCTTCTTTCTAGAAGTTGTTGCTGGCAGGGATGCCCATTTCTCCCTCCTGTTGAAGTCATCGTGGCAAGGGGTCTTCATTTGCAGACAGGCAAAATTCCTCCTTTCATCCCCAGTTCAAATGTCCCTTCCTCAGAAAAACTTCCTTACTCCACCCCAAGCCCCATGCTAACCTGAGTCTTCATAGGTTATTAAATAATTTCTTTCCAGGTCATTCTCATATCTTAAAAAGTAGAGAAAGTATGTTTGAGTGAGTGAAAGTGCCTGTTGCCATTGCATTTCCCCTACCATCTACCACTATGAGAACTCGTTGTGGACCTAATCTCAACCCAACTTCTGCAGTAAAATACCCGGGCTGGCCAGCGACTGAACTTTCTTCTCAAATGTTAGCTGACCTTTACTGAGTTCTTTTTGTTTTTGGGTGGAGTTTCGTTCCTTTTGCCCAGGCTGGAGTGCAATGGCTCGATCTCAGCTCACTGCACCCTCTGCCTCCCTGGTTCAAGTGATTCTCTTGCCTCAGCCTCCCAAGTAGCTGGGATTACAGGCACCCCTCCCCACGAAGCCCAGCTAATTTTTGCATTTTTAATAGAGACAGGGTTTCACTACGTTGGCCAGGCTGGTCTTGAACTCCTGACCTCAGGCGATGTGCCTGCCTCAGCCTCCCAAAGTGCATGAGCCACCTCGCCCAGCCTGAGTTCTTTGTCTCAACTGAATTCACCATTACTAGCACTTTTGCACACTTAAATCTTTTGTCATAGGGCCTACAAGATTTAACAACTAAAATTGGGGGCCCAAAGTAGAATGTTTTCAGTAAAAAATGAAGGAGCATAGGAGGGAGACTTTTTATGTCCTATTTCTCCACTGTCTCTGGCAATAAAAAACCCTCAGGAAAGATCACTTGCTTCCAGTGTCAAATAGTAAGAAAAATGGGGGAAAATGCATTCTGTTTTACAGGCAACAGGGAAAGGCCTGGTTGAAAGCAATAGGCCTGTGGTGAGTCGGGTTTTCGGGCAACAGACTCTGAAATGAGATTTGCATGCAGGTCTATAGGGAGCAACCTTGGGAACCTCCCCTTTAAGGGGGTGCTTTTGTTCTCTCATACTGACCCGCCATTGGGTAGTGACTGGCCCTGGGGAAGGGTGGTGACTTTGGGCACAGCAGCTCCACTTGGCTGAGGGCAGTTTTTAGGGAGGAACTCAACTGTGAGCTATCAGCAGACAACACTCCCAGCGTCTGGGGAAATGAGTGCCTCAGTTTATAAGGGCCTCCACTCTAAGACAACTTGAGAAGAATTAAGCAAATCATTCCTTAGTTGAATTCAATTTGTTATTAAATAGTTTCTAGGCCAGGTGCAGTGACTCTTGTGATGCCAGCATTTTGGGAGGCTGAGGCAGGCAGATCACCTGAGATCAGGAGTTTGAGACCAGCCTGGACAACATGGTGAAACCATGTCTCTACTAAAATATAAAAATTAGCCAGGCATGGCAGCAGGCACCTGTAATCTCAGCTACTCAGGAGGCTAAGGCAGAGTAGTCACTTGAACCCAGGAGGCAGAGGTTGCAGTAAGCCGAGATTGTACCATTGCACAATTGTGCCTAGATTGTGCCTGGGCAATAAGAGCAAACTTCCATCTCAAAAACAGTAATAATAATAATAATAATAATAATTTCTACTAGGAACTCGGAAAGTGTTGGGATGTAAAGATGAGCCATGAGCCTTCCTCAGAAGAAGCTTACAGTTGCATGGAACTTGGGAAGACAGACATGTTAATGCCTATTACGTTGCAGTAAACGTTGCAAGCAAAAAACAAATAATGATATTAACCAATAATCAAAGTAATAATAATAATGTAGGCATGCATGGGTAGCACAGAGGAACATAAAGGAAAACTGATATGCTGACCTGGGGAGTCATAAATTCAATTGACTAAGAAGGGGAAACGAAAAGGAAACTAACATTTAGTTGATGGCTTTTCTTTGCTAGGGACTAAGCTAGGGTTTTTATACATTATTTCACTTAATATCACACCAAACCTACAAAAAGAAAGAATAATTCTTTGTGCAGATGAAGAAACGACGGCTCAGGTGAATTAATAACTTGTCCAAGTCATAAGAGATATTAGGGAACAGAGGTGAGAACCTAGGAATGAATGGGTCCCTGATTTCCACTAAAGGACACAAAGCTTTGGAAGATAATTCTGAACAGAGTCTTAAAGGGTGGGGAAGACTTGGCAAAGAAGACTGCAAGAGCAATTCAGGTGGCAGTACCAACGTGAACAAAGGTTCTGAAGCTGTGACATGACGCATGCTGGGGATGAGAGCACTTCAGGTCCTTGTCACTAAACGTGGGAGGCAAGGAGTGTTGAAAAATGGGAGCAGAGTGGTGGATAGGGGCCAGGTCTTAGAGGATCTCATTTTCCATAAAAGAAGTACTCTCCTCTATAGGCCAGAGGGGACCAGGGAGGAATTTTAAATATGGTCGGATTTGTATTTTAGAAAGGCAGCTTTAGCTATGGTGTGCAGGGCGGATGCAAGACATCCCAGAAAGTGATGGGATTATGAAGTCAGTGGATCCTCAATGGGGCCTTTAGAAAAAGAGGTAAGGGGTGGCCTCAAAAAGAAGGGGAAGCTAGCCTGGAACAGGCATCGAGAGATACTAATGAGAAAAAAAGGAGGATAACTTGGGGCTGAGATATGACCCCAGCCCAATCCTGCAGCTCCCATCTTGAGCCCCTCTGTGTACCCCAAGTCGTCAGCTCACAACCCTAGAGTTCTTACCCCAGCCCCTTCACGTGCTCACCTGGGGGTTCTTTGAACTCCTCATTCCAACATCACTCTCTCACATCCTCACCTCTGCTGGGGACCCTAATTTATGCCCACACTGTGGAATCTGCTGCTAGTGACTTACGGCTGGAGAATCTTCTGTTCCACTGTAAATAAGGAGAAAGGTGCCTTTTTTCTTTTCTTTTGAGACAGAGTCTCACTTCATCTCCCAAGCTGGAGTGCAGTGAAGCAGTCTCAGCTCACTCCAACTTCCACATCCTGGGTTCAAGCGATTCTCCTGCCACAGCCTCCAAGTAGCAGGGATTACAGGCGTGCACCACCACACCAGCTGAGTTTTGTATTTTTTAGTAGAGACAGGGTTTCGCCATGTTGGCCAGGCTGGTCTTGAACTCCTGACCTCAGGTGGTCCACTTGCCTTAGCCTCCCAAATTGCTGCAATTACAGACGTGAGCCACTGTGCCTAGTCGGAAATGTGTTCTTGAATCACAGGTAACTTCTTTTTCCACAGAAAAATCATTACATGGTAGTTAGGCTGTAAGGTACTATTTGTACTGTTTTCAAGTGTTTTGTGAATAAAATAGGTTTTGAAGACTTGACTAGGAAGCTGGACATCATCCGCATTATTTCTTTAGGAACATGCATTCAGAACACGTTCTCAGAGTGAGGACAGCCTGTTCACTGCAGAGCATATATGTACTGGGCCTAGAAATTAGCTCAAACACACTAGCTCACAAGAGAATCTTCTAGGTTAGGGTTCTTGCCTAATGACGGTTTGTTGCTAAAAATGCAAGCTTTTGAACTCAATTCTTAGTCGGCAAGATTTAGTGGAAGTCATGGACCCATTTATTCCTAGGTTCTCACCTCTGTTCCCTAATATCTCTTATGACTTGGACAAGTTATAATTCACCTGAGCCCTCGTTTCTTCATCTGCACAATCAGAATTATTCTTTCTTTTTGTAGATTTGGTGTGATATTAAGTGAAATAATGTATAAAAACCTTAGCTTAGTCCCTAGCAAAGAAGAGCCATCAACTAAATGTTAGTTTCCTTTTTGTTTCCCCTTCTTAGTCAATTGAATTTATGTTTTACTGAGAAAAGTGAAGGAAGGTACTCAGATGACAGTGTGTGTCACCAGAAATCTAAGAACATGGGAGGTCAGGGGAGAGAAAGGAAAATCTGTTGCTGCCTTCCCAGCCATCTTTCCAACTGGGGGCATCCCCTTTCCTGCTTTCTATCAGGAATGTTACAATCTATATGTCCATTTTCTCAGTCCAGCACCTTCCATTTACATCTGACAAATTCACAGAAGTGCTCTTTGTCCTTTAAGCTATTCCAGAAGCTAAAATGACTTAGAAATGAGCTATTTGTATAGGACAGCAGGTAGTCAGGGCACCAGACAGAGGGGATCATTATCCAGGTCATGCCCATTTGCTGGTCACATCAAATCTTTTGGTTTCCAAGGGAATCGCCCTGAATCACATTAAAAATTTGAGGATTTGTAAAGATAATAGGCCCAAGCACCCTTCCTCTTCTCCTGACAATTCTGTTGTAACTGAGTTCTGAATGCCAGGCATTGTCCATGCCATGAAATCTAGATGTCAGGCAGTCTGGGATTAACATAGTGCAAGGAATGACAAACAGCATAAACATATCTGTCTCAACCCACCACAAAATAACGGCTTCAGGAGCCTGCTGACAGCTAACTGTGCTGAGCCGAAGTAATTAACTCATGTGTTTGTTGTCTCAGACAGTCTGGGCATTGCTGCCTGACTGCTTCTAAGAAGGGGTTTATTTGGATTAAGTTTAGCAACTGCAGAGCAAATTTCCTTCACTTGCTTTTCCACAGTATTTGAGGCATTGTTTTTTGTCGTGTTTTTCAGTAACTTTCTCACACTTACACATCTGAGGAATTTTCTGGAGAATAGCTCTGCAGTGGCCCCCTCAGCAGGGTACCACCTTTCAGAGTTGAAACAAGTCCTCACAGAGCAGTCAATGTCATTTCCAGTTCGAGCACACTGTGTCCCAAGTTTACAGTTAAAAAC